AGAACTTACTAAGCGTTTGACCGATATGTTTATGTCGGTCATATACGGTTAGTAACATTTGGATACTTTTAAAACATGTTCATGTATCATTTGTTCACCTCCAGCTGCTGAACATGAAAGTCCCATGAAAAGCCCAAGTAATTTAAGCATTAGGCCTCTCTTCCTATCGGTTTACCGGCAGAAAATAACCCACGCGAAATATTGGAAGAACAAAGCCATTACGCTAGTAATCCAATAGAAAGTGTAATGTTATGCATTGATAAAATAAACATAATATGTTTCAACTTTCCTTAGGTTTACCGGTGCGATAAACAATAGGTCTTTTGACCAATCAGGGGGCACGTTGTATCTCGAGCTCAGTTATGTTATAAAATAATGATAAGGAATGTCGGGAGCAACATTTTACCAATTACTGTGAAAACAGTCAACGTTATATGATAATATAGAAAAGGCCCCTATGACCTAATAACTCTTTAGTTATCGATCAGACATAAACAGCCTTGTCGCAGCTAATACATCTCATTTACAAATATATCGTCAAGTCATAGTTTAACGCTGATTTACATAGTAAAGCTTAGAGACCAGCAGGGTGATAGAAACCAAAGCTGTTGTCAATGATACCCATAATAATAGTTATCATACGTTTACTTGCTCTCTCTTTTCTGATTGGCCGAAAGCGTACAATGAATTTTCGAAATCAGCCCCTGGGACGTCATCTAGCGGCAGATTATGCAATAATCATGTCAATGACACTCAAGGAAACGGGTAGTCATGTCATGTATGACCGCGGTGCATGATTCCTAGGGGTAATCATGTCAAGTTCGCCCGCTTTGTGCTGCTTGCTGATTTGCATATTTTTGTACGTTTAGAAATAAATTATCGGTTCCACTTGCTGTCAAGACCTTTTTTTTTGTCCAATTTATAATAAAACAATTGCTAGATTCGGTTTTTGCGATATCCACTGAATAATCAAAGTCCCGGTAAAGGTTATCAGCCTCAGCCTTAGGATTCTGCTGATAACCCCTCACCTCGACCTTGATTACTCTGAATATCACAAAAACCTCATCCAATAATTGTTTAAAACGATGGAGACGACGATGACGATAATGACAACGTCCATGACGACGGTATGACGAAATAACAATGACACTGATGATGATGATGATGACGTCAGTTAGTTATTCTAATGAGCAGAAAGATATATATTCTCCTTTTCTGTGGGAGATTCTGCCTGAAGGTGTTTAGTATGTCACTCAAATAGTGCGCGCGCTACAATTGATTATTCGTATGTTCCGTGACCTCCAGCAAGGCCTCCTAAAATTTAAAAAGATGGAATGGCGTTTACGCAGCCAAATTTATAACATTAGAAATGATATTTTCCTTTGGTTCTTTATTAGGCTTGGGGTTTATTACTGCGATGATTACTCTCATCTTCACCATTATGCGTTTTGCTATGTTGTCAAGGATTTCCACGTTTGTCTTGGACATATCTTTAAGCCTATGGCAAGCACGATTTTGTAAACACGTTTAAATGGTTCCTGACTAAAGATTTTAGTCTTGCCTTCTTCCAGCGTCCAAGCATGTACTGACAATGGCATCTTTTGCAATCACAGAATTCTACTCTGTCCAGCTAAACAAACATGGCAATCTGCCCACATATTGGCGACGTCGATCTGCTTTTTTCACCGGGTTTCATTTCCTTTCGAGCTCTTGACCACGATGTTTAGTTGCAAAAACGTCCGGTGTCTTTTATTTTTCAATAACTTATAAAGGGGGCAAGGAAATCGACGATTTATCAGTTGTTACAGAAACATTTTTGCACACATTATCCCTAACCCGAAATAATGACTAGGAATGGCCGCAAACAATTCCTTTGGGGAACTGCAATTGGAAAAGAGTTTTTATGAGAAACGGAACAGTTATTCTATAAACAGCGCATAGCGGAATCATGGAGTTTTCTGGCGTTATCTAGAGGAACAAAATCGGAATATTCCTCAAGGAGGACGGCCCACCGAAGAAACGGCCAATATATGAAAATAACAATATCAGCAAAATGAAAGGAAACTGTTTTGATGTCCTGTGCCAATTTTCCTGTGCCAATTTTCCTGTTCCCATTTTCGTGAGCTTGAATGATTTGCGGTTCTCTTCGGCGGTCCGCATGGTCGGAGGGCAATTGCAATGGGAACATCATCTACTGCGCTGCACATGACATATTTATGGTTAAGAAGAGCTTTGTATTTGAACATTTATCAAAAACCACTGACTCGTGATCGTCATAGTTCTACAACTATATACCAGAAACCAATCATTACAGAAAATGATGAAAAAGGCAAATAATCAGCGGTCGCCGAAGGGTAGGGGGGCAGGATACGAAAGTTACTTCACTGCGAAGGTACTTGAGTTTCCTAGAAGCCTGGGGGAAGGGGGGTTGAGAAGCCGTTAGACGTCTTCCTTTGGTTTATTAATTCTCGAATTTTGCCGTGGGCAGGGTCAACCTGGGAGTTGGCTTTAGATGTGCATGGGTTTGGCTTCGAGGTTTTTTTATACGTTATCAACTCAGTTGATAATACCAAATTACCTCTATATTTGGTGGTCTAACGAAATAAATTTATCTTGTATAAGGAAAGTAGGCTGTAACCAGCAAACAAGCCCACTTAAGCACAAAAAGGAGAGGCCTGGGGAAGAGAAAAAATTCGCTTTGCGCAGAGTGTGAGCTGCGTGCGAACAATTTACGTTCACCACTTCGTATCAATCTTTGCAGCGGTTCTTTAGGATGTCACGCAACGCTCTTCGGCCCCAAACTTACTACAGTAGTCACTTTAGAAGTAACGTCGCGCAACTTTCCAGTAAGCAGCTGCGAAGGAGATCGCAACGTATATGCAGGCATAAGTGGCAGTTGCTTCAATTCTAGCATGACCACAGCCTACACCTGGTCAGGTGATCGAGTTAGAAAACAGTTATGTGATCAGCGTACTAGCCCACGACGAGACATCGGGCATATATCTGGGTGTATGATCGCTAGCCTACGAGCAAGTTCTCATTGGCCTTGGGGATTTTTGCGAACTCTGTAAGGGTTGAATGGGACAAGGCTCTTGGAGGTCGCGAAACGCTCCACCTCTTGGCCGGAGCGTCTCGTGACAATCCAGAGACTAACTCGTTATTGCGTGACTCAGAAAACTGTGAACCGCTTTGCCTCGATAATGACAGGTCAGTTGCTTACTGACCAATCAGGAAACTGAATAAAGGGGATAAGTTTCTAAAGAAACTGTGGTGCTGCCTCGGTGGGAGAGTGTAGCAGGTAATTTAGTCTTAACAACTTCGCAATCAGGAAAAAGTTTAGGAAATGCGTGGAAGCCTCAAAACCACTAAACCGCTTTCGTTTACCGCGCCTGATTGGCTTTCCCTTTGGAACGCAATAACATTCGATAATTATTTCTGGATTTCATGGTTTACTGAGTTTCACAAGAGCTAGGAAAACTATCTTGTACCAACGGCTGGAGTTTCTCGTGTTTTATGCACTCCTCTCATGCCGTAGAACCTGAGTGGGGAGGAGCATCCTCTTACCGTACAGATTGTTATGCATATCTAAAACTCTATCCTCCTAAGATGGTGTTAAAAATTTTAGGACCGTCCCAACAATTGGATAGTGTCATTACAATGTAAATGTTGTAACACACGAATAAGCGTTGTAATTCATCGATCAAGTACTGTCCTAATCAAACTCAAAGATTCTATGTTAAGTTTGCTTAGATGGGAAGATTCCACGATAAAATCTTGGTTGTAAACTTTACCAATTCTAGAGTTTTCTGTGTTAATGTATCCACCGAATAAAGAAATTATAGGACATTTTAGAAAATAAAATGTATTTCGTTCAATGTGAATTATTTGAAATCAATTTTGCCCCATTTTCCTTTGTCAGATCTATCCAAAAGGATCATTCCGTCTAAACGTAGAATGCTCAATATCAGGGACTGAAAGAACTTGTTTTGTCGAGCTTTTAATTAGGCATAGCGAATAATTTTCTACGTAACATTCTGCTCAACGTAACCGCCAAATGTTTTCGGTGCAAGTGAAAGCAAGTTTGCTAATTTCCTCTCACGAGAACGGCGCACAACTCGAACACTAACATGTAAACGACGCCAATTTGCTGTAAAACGATGAACCACTTTCATTCCTTTCTCTTAAAGTGTCATTGCATGCGTTATCTATAAGGGTTACCATCCAATTTCACAAACGCCCGATTTCATTCAAGTACGTAAATTAGGTGAATTTATAGGCTGCTTTACAATAGTCACCTTGACACTCCTTATGAGAAAAGGGCTTCATCTCTAAGCTTTCTCTTATGCAAATTACCTGAAACAACCGGAAGAAAATGGTAGGAAAATGACAACCCCTATAACACTTCCAGTCAAAATCATCCTCCTATCTCAGGTCCAATTGTGTCTCAAGAAAGGTTAACCCAAAAAGAATAATGACATAGTCGCTTGAATTCAGGCTTACATTTGTGGAGAGAATGTTGTACGGCTGTATTCAACATGCTGTTGACCTGAAAATAACAGGTTATTGAACTCTCAGGAAAGAAAGCGAACATTATCACTTTTAAGGCATTGTCATACGTATATGCAGTGAAACAGAAAAAGCAAGTGAGAATTTATTAATAACTTGATTTATTGCATTTATGCAAAGACTCCTCAGAGTGTCTCTCGATCTGTAAGTTTTGGTGCATTTTCTGCAAAAACTTTAATCCAGCGTTTAAAAAGCTCTGCCGATTCGGAAGTTTTTGTACATTTACTGCAACTCCTTTACTCCAGAGTTAAAAAACCTAAAAAACGTTCTTTCAAAGGAAAGGAAATTAAGATTTATCTTTACATATAAAATTCTGTTTCACTTTTAGGCTTCCATGTTCTTAGTATGTACCACCCTCGTTCTTTAGCAAACAAAATCAGAAAGAATTAATGGAAACTCTCTAGATGAGCAAACAAATTCATAAATTGTATAGTGACACCTTCAAAACAGAAAAAACAAAATAAGACAAAACCATTTTGTACAAAAAATAATTATAGTTATTAACTATCAATCTTCCCAAGGTACCGTTCAGGAAGATCCCTTACAAATGAAAACTGTTCCAGTATGGAATAAATTGGTTTGTAACTGATGAGTTCAAAATACGTGAAAATAGTGCATAACATATATTTACAAGAAATTCAGAAATATTTTTTAGTCGCAACAGATAGCACTGTAAATCTTAGGCATAAATGATTGTGTTCGGTTAACGGAAAATGGTTGGAAGTTTTGGTCTTTCCGGATTCGATTAAAGCACCCTCTGCCGTGCACATGCGCAGTCTGAACAAAACATCATCGTCATCATATCATAGAAAATCGTCTTTCTGAGCCGCACCTCACCAGATTTCGTCATAGTTCGCGCAAACAAGGCCAGCATCTAAGAGATAAAAACAGGGAAAGAAGAGGGAACCGTAAATAAACTCCGTCGTAAAGACAGTTACAAATAAGAAACTACTTTAGGGGAGTATTATCTGTTTAACTAAGATTAAGTAATAATGCACGCACGCGTGTTGTAGGCTAGGAAAAGCACGAGGTTTCGCTTTTTCGGTTCGCCATGTTTTCCTCTTGCAAAATACTCTAACGGTTTGTAATGAAACCGCTCAATCAAAACACACGATTTGCTTCATATTTGCCACGGGCGCTAGCAGCTAGACAATAAAGAATAATGAAGTAGTATCTGAAAAATCGCACAAGGAGATGCACGTAGCTGGAATCAAAAGGAGGAAAAAAGACAAAAATAAAAGCTACAACAAAAAGCATAACAAAACAAACAAAGATGAAAACACATAGCGAGTAGGAGGGTACGAAATTCCGTATAATTCAGCAAGTCCGTTGAAGTATCCATCCGTATGATCTATAGTATTTTTGGTGCCAAGTTTAAGAAGATACAGGAAATAAATTTCATAGATACATGAATAAATACATTGGCGACCAATGAAGCAGATAAATAGTGTAATAAACGTTAACAGGCTTCTTCATTTGATGATTATCCTTAATTCTCTTCGCTAGTTCGTCAATTTTTTTACGTAGCAATTACGTCAGAAGCTTTAACACGTGGACGTATATATAAATGCCGTTAGCGGTCTTCTTTCACTAGTCCTAGTATTCAGCTTTGCAGAGCTAGCATACGTCGTATTTTTTGGTAAACAAAGTTTAAGTCACCCTTTGATATTATGAGTGCAAGCGGGAACTGATGTTTTTATGTTCGATTATCGTCAATAAACCATCATTACTCACAGCTGATTTTCCGTGATCTCTGGCCTTATACGATCAGTATGCATTTCCCGCACGCAAAGTTCAATGCGACAAGGTGCTGACATGTGACTTTAGCTCTTCAAAAGTCGCCGCGAACCTGGCGTTACTAGTAGAAACATTTTATTCGTTTTTTTTTTACCCATTCAGGACTGTGTCCACTATCTTACCTTCACTCGTGAGACAGTCTGCTTCTTGGAAGATGTACTTTGATGAGCCTTACATCCGATCCATATAGGCCCACGGCAACATGTAAACTGTTCAGGTGCACGCCAAGACAAAAAGGTGTCTCTTCAATATCTAACGAAGCCAAATGTTCCCCTGAATCTACATCGAACATTCGAAGAAAGTTACCAATACTCTGGTCCGAACAGACCATCAACGTTCGGTTCGTGATAAATTTAACATCCTCTACATAACAACTTACGGGTAACTTGCAGTGGTGTTTCCCTGAAGTTGCCTTGTAGATATTTACCGTTTCGAAGGCCCATACAGCCACGAAATCCCCTTTGGGAGAATATAAGGCTGCTGGTAGGTAATCCTCGCAGATAGAAAACGACTCAATTTCGAGAGACGATGAAAACGAGGCGCCTGAAAGGTGAACAGCGTAATCCACGAAGATTCCGTCGTTTCCTGTACATTCATAGGTTATCATTTGGAATTTTTCGTTCATCGCTATGATTTTCCACCTTTCAGCAATTTTAATGGTTTCGGAAGGACTATCCGAGGTATATACATCCGAGGTAGATAGGACAACAGCGGTACCATCTTTGGTCAAACATGCTACTTGTTCTTCTGATATAGGTAGCAACTCGATCCCTTGTAACTTGTCCCACCGACGTTTACACTCCGTCAATTCAACATCCCAAAATTCAACTGTATCGTTCAGAACAAAAACACCATCTTTCACAGGCAAAATCGAAGGGAAAGTCGGGTAGATTTTTGCTTTTTGATTCCAAGTTGAATATTCCCATACGGTCACTGTTGGAGGCCTCTGACTCACCACATACACATTCTCACCATCAGTAGGGAAAGCAACATCCTCAACGTGCGTGTCTGACTTAGTTTTGGCTTTTCGAATTTTAGCCAGATTTATCAAACTCAAGTGGTCAAGATTTGGGCTACTTAATAATGCACGTTCGCCCTTTAACCTCAATAGGAATCCGGCTTCCCCGAAACGAATGACTTTCGACAAGGCCGACTTCAAACTTTCTGTAGCATCTCCGTCGAGGAAAGACCCATAACCACTTTCGCCACCGGAAAACTCTTCTTCACTGAAGTCACTCAAAGTTTTTCGGGAAAATCCATCGGTAGTAATTCTGCAGCGAAAATGTTGCTGATCATATTCGACTCTGCACATACCAACAAGAGCATCACTCTCCACGGAGAAAGTCAAAAATCCCCAGGGTGTAGTTGTCGATATGGATGCTAACTCGGTTAGTTTATTCTGTAAATCCAACAGACATAGTAAGCCCGTGGAGTGGGAGACTGCTAGAAGATTTTTATCTGGAGAGCACTGAAAATAGACAATGTCTTCAGTTCTGGTGGTGCGAGATATTTCGTCCCCAGAATCCAGACTCCAAATGACTAGGCGTTTGAGATTGTTTGGACAGTCTGTGAGCATCGCAGCGTTGTCCCCTAATAATGTAAACACAGAGAATCTACAATTACTCTTGCTGAAAAGCTCTTTCTGTTCCCCGTCAATGGTGTAAACTGTGGATAGGTTTCCAGGCAGTATATGTTTTCCATCTGGATGAAAGGCAACGGATCGATAAAATGAACGCGTCGAAAGACCTGTTCTTGTTGGATCTACAGGGTCAGGTACTGGTACCATACGAAGTAATTTGAAGAAATCTTCCTCCTTCGAGGGACCAGTTCTCCATTCCATTTTACAATTCTTCAATGACCACAGCTGAATCTCTTTCTTACGACATTCACACACCATATGAGCCTGGTCTGGTGAAATATCGAAACAAACCACAGTTGACCAACAGTAAAATTGACCTTCCACAACTGACTCCTGTTCATTCATGTTGACCAGCTCCATGTAAGATATTTCATCATATTTCTCAATCAAGAGTTTCTTAGCTTCTGAAGATAGCACTGATCTGCTCGCGTTCACCATTGTCTGTAAGATGACATGCGGAAGCTCCATCACCGACCAACTGTTCTTCCGCAGAATGGAAAGCAAACTTTTCAGGGAAGCTTTCGTTTCTCTACTCAACGAGTTAAAGTTCTCATGCATCTGGACATTTGCAACGTCTTCCGTTAGCACTATGTCATTTACACACAACTTGGCGTAGACAAGTTCGGGGCTCAACACGTACTTCTTCACAAAATCCTCAAAGTCAACTCTTTTGGCCTCCTCGTCAACCTTTAGCATGTGTTGAACACCATGTTGCAGGGCATACGTTGTCGTGTCATTCATCTGCGTGAAATCATACTCCAAAACTCGTCTTTGTAAAAGAGAGTCAAATTCGGTAGAGCAGAGGTCTGCAAGTTTACGATGGCCTTTTTTCTCGTCAACGCTGAAGTCGTGCCTCCCATAAAAACTTATATCCGTCAACCAGTCCTTTACTGACTTGTGAAAGATATGAATGCGGTTTTCACGGATGGGAAGAAGTGACGACACACTCTTAATGACCTTAAGAACCTTTTTGCTTGCAGCACTTGACTGAGTACTCAGTAGCAACACTTGAGGAACAAAGTCGATCAGCAAAGGTTCTCTTGATGCGGCAAGAGCAGAGAGGAAATTCAAAAAAGAATCCCCGTTGATGTCAAACTCAGTCTTGAGTTCCTTCTCCAACCTTTCAAAATAGCGGTGGTAGGCCGAAGAAATTCCTGACGATAAAATCTCGTTTACGTCTCCTTGTGTAAGAACTGATGGATCCTCTTCAATCGTTTCAAGAAGAAAATGTGCATACAACATGAGTCCTTCTGATTTTGCAACAAGCTTTTCAACAATGTCCTCGGTGTTTTCTGCTTTGGGTATGCTTTCTAGTCTCTTTACAAAGAAGAGCTTGATGTCATTATTGTTTTGTTCACTGTTTGAATCCAGGTGAAAAGGCCGAAGGGGTTCTAATACCTTTTTAATCGTTTCCTCTGGTCTGCTTGTAACAAGGAATCGAATCCACCTAGGAAGCTTGAAAAAGTGGGTGGCGATGACGTCACAGAGCTCATTTCGATGTTGGTACTCACTCTCATCAAGTCCATCTATCACCACAAGCAGGTTTCCTTCAGGCTCTGCTAAGGTGTTCAGAGGTTCTTTCAAAAGAAGCGCGAACAATTCCTCCACATCCATAGCGTCGATATCTTTGCCTATATTTCCCGTTAACTTTTCCACTAAAGCTTCTTTGAACATTGGTAGAACATGGCACAGTTGAAAGGCCAAAGACTGAAGCATTAGCTTAGGACAACGGTAACGTGGGTTGTTGTGCTGAAAAAAGTGGTATCCCGCGAGTGCTCTAGCTGCTTGCATTCTGTTACAAATAGCAGCAGAAATTACAGACTTTCCCATGCCCGCGTTTCCAGTGATCACCATCGCGCGATTTTCAGATTTTTTGTCATTTAACCAGTGTTCGACTTCGCGAAAAACCCACTCGCGGGTGCCCTCCTGATATCGTGCTAAGAGAAACTTTATTTCTCCTATGAAATCACACTTGACAAGCTTCTGAAGGGCATCATTTGATCTGCCTCTCTTTTGACCTTCTTTTCGGCTGCTTATTGACAGCATGATTTCTTCATGTCTATGACCAGAGGCCTCCTGTTCTTCTTTCAGTGCTCTACTAACTATCGTAACAATTGCGTTTGTATCCTGAAGTATCTTTAGTTGTGTTTGTTGGGTCTGACATAATGTTCCAACATCTTTCCTTGTCTCCTGTTGCATTTTACGCACTTTTTCCAGTGTTTCATGTGTTTTCTTCTGGCCCTCGAGAACTCCGCCCTCCCGATCCGCCCACTCATGCAAAATACGGATGTAATCTTCACCACAGGGCTCGTCTTCTAACCTGTTTATCGCTGCCTGTTCCAGACCGAGAGAATGAAGAATTCCACTGATGTCTTTCCACAATTCAGCAAATTTTGCTTCGTCGATAGCTGTCTCGGGCATGTGACAAAGTTTATTGCGATGAAGCTTTATACGAACAAGCTGTGCAGGGAGAGATCTGTTCTTTTTATGTGGTTCAGAGTTCCAACCTGTCCGAGGAGCTGTTAGGCGGCATGTGGTCGATAGCAAGTAGAAGAGCAGTGAAATATCAAAGTTCTTCGAATCTGGATCGGATCCATCAGAAGGGAACAGCAATTCTTTCTGCTCTCTGGTGAGGTATCTTTGGCCAAAGTCTACCTCAATTTTAGCTCTGTATGGCTTCAGACTATTGCGCAAATTTTCGGGAGGATGGTATTTATCGAAATTTTTTCTCAGAGCTGGTGTCCCACCATCGACGAGAAGCCTTCGTAGCTTAGCTCCATTAGTTGTCTCAGGAGATCCCGTCAGAGCATTACTCGCCATCGAAAAGCTACGTGTTTACTCCAAAGCTCTGAAAAAGGGATTATTAAACTTATAACTTGAAGTTTATTTCTACCCAAAATTACGGTGTAGTTAAAAAAACGTTTGTTAGATACTAAAATATATGTAATATGTGAGCCACACTGTGATTATGTGTCAATCGAATGAGTAACAGCCCTTATGTCTTTAAATGTGTTCTTTGTTTTCTTATTCCGCGTTATAAGCCGAACACAATGACATGAAACGTTTAACCAGAAGGAGAGACTGACGGTACCGTATGTGTCACGCTCCGTTACGATTTTAAGTGAACGAATAAATTTATATGGTTTCCTCGTATTACTTCTTAATTACTAAATTGACCACACCCCCAATGGGCTTTTCAGGGCCAACACCAACAAATTCGAAACAGTCAAATGAAAATTACAGTATATTAAAATCCCAACAAGCAGGGGGCAGACCAGTCGTTATGGCCAAAGTGCAGCCAAGGAGTTGAACTCAGGGAAAAGGGAACAAATCTAAAGATGAAATCAGGGCCACCAAATTACAAGTCCAGCACCCAAACCACAGCAAGAAGGTACAAGGCTTTAAAGAAATTACCTTAAGATAGCACCAGTTTGATATACACGTACATGAAGTGTTAGGCACAGAAAACGAAACAGCAGGGGAGGATGACAGGTTGAGAAACCCTTGTCAAGTACACGGAATGTCAGACAGATCCTTCAGTTTTGAGTAAAACCCTTATTCCGAAAAAATCAATCTTAGAATAGGAATTATTTGGGAGGAAGGGGGTAGGGGGTAGGGGGTAGGAGGTAGGGGGGGGGTGGGGTGGGGGGTAGGGGTAGGGGGGGGGTAGGGGGTAGGGGGTAGGGGGTAGGGGTAGGGGGTAGGGGGGGGGGGGTAGGGGGTAGGGGGGGGGGGGGGTGGGGATAGGGGATGGGGGGTAGGGGGGTAGGGGTAGGGGGTAGGGGTAGGGGTAGGGGGTAGGGGGTAGGGGGTAGGGGATATGAAACACGTAAATGGTGATAGCTTTACTGATATGAGATGAAAAATAATCCTTGTTCTGGCTAGCCTTCAGTTTAATGTTTTCACAGACCTTGATTAGGAGCTGGAAGAAGGGTTAGGATAAAATTTAGTAACCGAGGAGAAAATTAAAGCAATCGACCAAATTAAAAACTCTGAAGTTTCTTAAGCTTTCAAAGAAATGTAAAATGTATGTTTTGGCTGTTACTCATTCTGAAGATGGATGATGTTTCATTCAAAAGAAAAGTAATATGCTTTTAGAACACTCCTAATTCCCACATGCCACTTTGGTAATTTAACAAACATTCTTATTTAAGGTCCAAGGTTTCACACATTTAGAAACTAAAGAAGATTCTAGAAAAAGTCAACATAATTTTGTCCAGTTTTCAAGAAATTACATAAAATGATCAACAACAAATCGCATCCAAAGACTTCCTATGTTTTTCATCTATACACTCCTGCAAAGACGACAAGGGTCTGTTCACCCCTTTAGAGAATAATTAATCCTGAAAGTTGCCCTTATCTCAAAACACATTAAGGCAAACAGTTGTAAACTTAGGTCTATGAAGGTCGTTGCATGAAACACACTTTAAAACTGCAGGTACATCAACTTCCTCAAATGCACTTTTTGCAGGCATATTTGTACAGCGAGTTATACGGTCAAACCTTTCTGTATGGAACTGATCTGGCTATTATTCAAGCAATAAACCACACTTTCGATTGATTTACTAGCTAATAGACCACGCTGGATCTTGGGAAAACATGAGAAAAGTTTGTTAACCCATGAGTGACCAAGACAGATTTTCTCCTTACAATATCAATACAATTTCAAGCAGACAACTGATGAGAATAAAGAAAATTATCAGTTAGGGGATTATAAGTTGATCCATTACCAAATTGTCCAAACTAACATCACAATAACTGTAAGGCAGACAGAAAGGAGAATTACCAATAAGATCTTGGGAGTTAATCCTTTAACTACCAGATCAAATTTGTGATTCTCCTCACTGTCAACCATACAATTCTTATAATTTTAGTTCCGAGAATTTTGTATTGGATCTACTAATTATCCCCAAATTGATTTTTCTCTTTATTGTCTCACTTATCTACTTGATATTGTATTGATATTGTAAGGAGAAATTCTGTCTTGGTCACTCATGGGAGTTAAAGGGTTAACTACAAGGCACAGGCGAATGGTCACTAACCAGAATAACACAAATTCATTCATTTAAATTACATGTTGATCTGAAATTTTGAAGCCCCAGACCTATACAAATAAAAACCATAAGAAAACAACAAGGTTGAAACAAGGCAGTGAGAACTGAAATCAAATTCAGAATATCTCTTCAGAGTAAAGAAAAATAACAAATCCCTGGTTTTAAACAAACCTGGAAGAAAAAAGGCTTGTTTTGTTTACCGCAATTCTGAAAAACATGTGGCTTTATTAACAGAACACAAAAGCCGAACAGGTAACACGTGATTCCTCCAAGAGGGTACATTGTAACTACAATGATCATTTACCTTGATCAACACAATTATTGTTCAAACTTAATCTTTACGAGGTCACATTAACAGCAATTCTGTGGATCACAGATAGTTTGGGCAACAGTCAAGGCAAGATGAGGCCTTTACCCCAACCCATTTTGTTATCAAGTACCATGAATATTTGCTACACTGAAATGCAAATAATTGAGAATGTACAAGCCGTGTTGTTTCATGGCACTGTTTCACTTTGCCTGATTCAGCAGCATTGGTGTATGAAATTGTTTGAATACCAATATCATCAGTTTGATCTCCTCCTAATAACAAAAATAATTCTGTGACTTTGTTATCATTTGGTAATCAAATGGGTAACCACAGTGGTAACCGTATTATTAACACAGTGGCTAAATGCCTGGCAGCATGGTCTTAAATGGACTAAATGCCCCACAGTCAGAAACTTTCACAGAATTTCCACATGTTTTTCAGAATATCCTCCAAACTTCTTTAGAATACGAGATGTTTGTTTAAAATGTCAAGCAATTCTGAGAATTGCATTGGTTCTTTTAGTAGTCAAGCTTAAATGTACCAACCTCATAAAGTTTAGGAAGACACGTTGGTTTGGTAGAATGTTTTCTTTGAGACCACTGTAACATGACACTAAGGGACAGCTTCAAGTTCAGTAAATATGGAGGGAAACACCACAGAAACCTCAAATAAACCTGTTGAGAAAATTTGCTGTTTGTTTAGATATCCTAAATGATTTTAAAACTATTTTGTTTTATAGTGGATAACTTAGTTGTCAACACTCCAACAGACTACTGGGCATGGTCTCAAATAGATTAAATACCCAGCAGTCAGAAATATTCAACATATTCCAAGAAAACTTCACAGAGTATAGTTTGACCTAAGTGAAGCTGTACTTTTATTCCACCTAACAGAACCTTTGGGGGTAAAAGCAGTAAAGGATGCTCTACAACTGTCAGAGATCTTTACATCAAATGAGGCAAAATACAGCATAAGGGAAATGTTGACTGGCTGGCTTACAGAAAGAGATTTTTTGAGAAAGAACTAATAAAAGGGCTATATACAAGGCCAACTCCTTAAAACCTTTCAGTGGCATTTTGGTAATATTTAAATTTATAACTGCTGGCTATTTAGTCTATTCAAAACCGTGCCCTATGTCTTTTTGTGTTTGTTTTTCCAAATTCGAATTTCAAAATTTCACTTCATAATTGCAGGCTTAGTTGTAAACTTCATTCTTTCCCCTATTATTCACTTTCAGGACAATGCCATGAATTAGTGAAAAACTATTCTGAATCACTTCAGCCTCGAAGACTGTCAACCTCCATCAAATGTTTTAAAAACGGTCTTTTGACTTTCATTACCATATCAAAACAAAGAAAGAAACAAAATTATCAGAGACATACATGTATGGAAAAACAGTGAGAATTAGTACAGACCGAGTAACACAAGCTGTAACCGTTCCATTCAGTTTTCAGTCCTCAGTTCTTTGACTTCTTTCTTGATGCTAATGGTCTATTTTCACCCTGGCTCTTTAACAGAGTGTCATTAATAATGTTCAGCGCAAACTGGAAGACCTATAGGAGTGCCTTCAGATGTCATTGTTAATATAAGAAGAACAAAATGACATTGATATAATGAATATTCAAGAAAGAAAAACTGTTAATTAGATGGTTTGCTCTCCAAATAGGTTTTCTTGTAATATTTGATACCCACAGCACTATTATATTATAACTAATGTTCATGTTATAAAGCTTTCTGAATACATTGCCTGCTATAAATTGCTAAAATTGATAGGCATCTTGCTTGATGTTGGTAAAGAGAGATCAGCAAAGCAAGAAAATACAATGGTGGGAGGGATTAAATCTTTGAAGGCTAACTGATAGCACATTTTTTCCCTTTTTTTAGTTCCCATACATTCCTTTTACGTTGAAAAATCCTAAATGAGAAAATAAATGATATATTGTGAAAACCAAATTTTCTGCAAATTTTTTACGTTTAATCAAAGGCCATTTCGAAAACATTCCAATCCAGGTCACATGTTGTGATACATCACTCGTTTATAAGGCAGGGAAAAGGGTCTTGTTATGACCTGAAAGTAACAACTTTGCTTTTAGCCAGCTGGTACTGATAGGGAAAAAAAAAGATTTAGTCCATTTTAGTACATGCCACCATTTAGAGACTGAAATACAAAGTGAGAAATAAAATACTTTCTCTAAAAAGGTTGAATTATTGAAACGTGACGGATTGCATATCTGTCTTTAGAGCCACAGGTAAATTGCAAGCCATGCCAAATAGCAGTAAAAAATATCTATATTCTTTCCTCTTGACCATTATTGAGTCTGTTACTTATAGAAATATTATTTAGTCCAAGTCGAAAAGCATTTAACTTAACATTTTGTCTGGTGTATATCACTGTGACTTCAAGCCAATTGGTTCTTGAGTGAGTCTGACATAAGGCCAAAGTGTTAAATTGTGTT